AAACTTCGTTGTGCACTATGAGTACACCAAGTCAAATGCAATGCTAGGACTACTAAATAAGTACTAAGCTAATACACCAATTAAATCGCCGATAAGAAGCCAGTGAGATATTTTTCCAATGTATAAAAACTAAATCTAAATTAATTAAATCTCTCATCACACAATTAACTTCACACTTTTCTCAATGAAATACACTACTTGCAGCCCCACCTGATTAAAGTGATTATAATGATGATGATTGAGCATAGAATGACACCAGGGCAGATGAATATTTTGTGTGGATATAAAGTATAGTGTATTATGAAGATTTTATTTACTTCCTTTTAGTAGACCCTTAATTTTTGTTGATCAAAATTTTGTGACCTATATAGAGATTGAGGTCGATTCATCCAAGCTTCAAGAAGTAGACGAAGTTGGGCGTCTGATAGCTCCCCAGGAAGCATTCACCAAGATTGCTGATGTTGTGCAAGAAGCCATCAGAAAGATGGAAATGGTAGCGGAAGAGAAGATGAGAATGGTAAAGAAAGCCCGTTTGGCCTATGAGGCATCCGACCAGGAGCTAAAGGACAAAGCCAGGGAAGTGACTGCCCTAAAGATGGACAGGCAGCGAAAGAAGCAACAGATCGACGAGCTGGAGAGCATTGTGAGGCTTAAACAGGCAGAGGCTGAAATGTTTGATCTAAAAGCCAGTGAAGCGAGACGAGAAGCTGATAGGCTACAGAGGATTGCGCTTGCCAAGACTGACAAGTCCGAAGAGGACTACACCAGCAGGTATCTCAAGCAAAGGATGAGCGAAGCCGAAGCCGAGAAACAGTATTTGTTTCAGAAAATCAAACTCGAGGGGAGTTCGCGGGCGGCTTCGCACAATGGCGCGGCGGCTGGGGCACCCGACCCTTCGCAGGTGATGATGTATTCCAAGATTCAAGATTTGCTCAAGAACATGTAAGATTCATATACTCCCTAATTTGTATGACATTTGACATGCTTCCTTCTATAATTTTGTATAATACTACCCATTGACCATTGTTATGTTGTTTATTATTCATGATTTGGACCTGAAAACTATACATTTTGAGTGTTATCATTAGTACAACTATCTACTTGTGAGTAGAGATAAAGTCTGCATACACAGTTTACCCACACATACACACTCTCTCCAGAGACCTTTCTATTTTTGTGAGATTTTACTGGGTTTGTGGTTGTGAGCTTGTACTCTTTACTTGATTAGATTGGTTCTGATTTCATCAAAATAAGTTTTGATATGGTTTGATTTGATTGTAATTGTTGATCTAATTGTAGTTGTATTCAAAGTTGTTTTTTATCTGATTTGGTCTAATCTCATTCTAATAAAATAATTAATATTTTGTTCTAATTTAAATTGCGTGTTGTTGTTTATAAGGTTTGATTGAAATTATTTTCAATTTAATTTATTTGAGAACTATTGTAGAATTAAAAAATAGTCATAAAATTAATATATTTAAAAATTACATCAAAGGATCTATGTTTGATAAGACTATATTATTTTATCAAATGGATAGCACAAATGGGAAGAATTCATACAATTTTTGAAGAGTTCAGAGGTAGATGACATAAAACTCCAAGTTTGTAATGATATAAAATGTAGAATCACTTTAAAATTGGTAAAATTAATGTAGAATGTACCAAAAGACTAACACTATGTTTCGTTCAAGAAATTTGGGGAAAAAAACAAAAGGAAATGATTTTTCATAAGCTTAGGTTGGTCAAAACTGTTTATAAGCTGCTCTTAGCTTATAAGTCAGCAGATGACATGTTTTTCTGTGTTTTAAGTTGACTTATAAGCTGCTTATAAGTTAAGAAAAATAAGTAGGTCTTACTTATTTTAAATCAGTTTTTTCGTTTTTCCGTTTTAACTAAATGACTTACAAAACTATTCCTCTCCCATTATGACTATCCATAAATGACTTATTATTCATTTAAGTTATTTTATATACAAATTTTTTAACTTATAAGCAGCTTATAAGTCAAAAAATGACTATAGGTAATAAGTCAATAAGTATCAGCACAGAGAAATACTCAGTTTCCCTTCTCTTAGTATTCACTCTGTCCCAAATTATAATGCATGTTTACTATTCACAGGGTCAAACTTCATTCATTTTCTTTCTCTATTTTCGTTAGCAATTTGATAAAATAAAGTATTATTGTCACTACTAGTTTTGTAGATCTTTTGATGTAGTATTTTAATATGTATTTTTTTAATTATATACCATTTGTCATATAAAATGATTTGAAAATAATTTCAGTCAAACATCGTAAACCTAAACAGGCATTATAAAATGGGACGGATGGAGTACATTTTGTCTTCTCATTTTCTTTTCATTTCACTTTTCTTTTTTTTTCCTTTTTAACCAAATAAGAAAAATATTTTCTTCTCATTTTCTTTTCTTTCCCTCTCAAGCTGATGTTATGAAAGTTCTCAAACAATTGTTCAAAAACTTAAGAAATACGAGTTCTTGCACATTTTTAGGCTGCCGTAAAATTTTCTTTGAAAAAAAGATGAGCCTCATTTTTGATAATTCCCAAGATGATCAAATAAATTAAATTTTAATCATAAATTAGTGGCAAAAAATATAATCTGCATTTAATACTTACAAATAAAATAATTTTAAAGGAAATATGATTTGCATTTTGTTCGAAATGGGACGAATGAGTATTACGGAGTACTCCGTATGTCTTTATTGGCCTTCCAATTTCCCAAACTAATAATCATCTCATTTATGGTGATTTAAAGTAGTCAACTATCGTTTCAAAAAAGCTAGTCAACTATAATCATGGAACGAAAATTATTGCGTAGACTAAAAAGTTTACTAATTAATTTTAGAGAGACCAAAAAATCATTTTCTTAAGGCATTATTCAAAGAAAATGGTTACTTCCTCCACTCTTATTTAATTATTCGTTTTGTTTTTTTACATCAAATATTTGAGTAACTATATATAAAAATATATAATGAATTAAAATATAAAAATTATATAAAATTACTAGTATTGAAAAATACTTTAAATGCATTACTTTTAGTGAAATTTGCACTAAATAGGACTAAAATATAATGACTTTCTAAATGTAGGACTTGAACTTTTTTATTCCCTAAATATGATTTAATAATGACCTAGTGGAAGGAATAATGCCCAGTAATGATGGATTCCTACATTGGGAAATAAAAACATATGGTCCTATATTGGGAAAGTCATTATGTTTTAGTTCTATTTAGATAAATTACCCGTCCCACTGACACATACAAATAGGTATTATGTGTCCATCTATGTATTACCTCCAAAATGTAAAAAATGATATTAGTCATGTACAAAATTCATATGTTGAGCCATATTTTAATTTTTGTAGAGTATTTGTGTTTTAAAATTAGTGCTAAATTAGATTTCTGATAACCATTGTTATAATATTTTCAATATTATATTGTAAATTTAAATTAAAGTTAAAAGTATCAAGCAAATAGAATAATGAATTGGGAACGTCTAACAATATTGAATCCTAATAGTTTGGGGGCTTTGTGCGTATGCACACCTTGCACGCCCTTCTGGGCCAACCATGATTAGATCGAGTCATATCATTCGTAGAATCGTAGAAGCTACGAGGATTACTCCACATTTGAATATATAGAAGGATACACAATCAAGCACTCATTTGATTGATTGATTTTTTTAATAATTTACGTTTCAAAATGAGTAATGCTAGAGTCACAAACAAAGCATTCAAAAAATTTACAATCTTGCCAAATACGTAGTATGTAAAATAAAGGTACTAAATAATGGCTTTAAACACTTTAAAAATAAATATTTAAATGCACAAAAGGTAAGATTATGAATTTTGTGAGTATTTTATTTGTGACTCTAGCATTACTCATTTAGAATTATTTACTTGTTTCTTGTTTTAGGTGGAAAAAAATCAAATATTTGATTAGTAATGAGAATATGAAATTCATGTGTTTGCATAATTACTCAATTGATATTCTATTGTAAGTACATCAATAGAGGGCCTGTTTGAAAATAATGTTAGAGATTAGCGTTAACGTTTTGAATAAAATTTAACGGTGCAGATTACTTTAAAAATGATAAACGCTGTTCGTAGATAGCCTTTTTAAAACGCTAACGCTAATCGCTAACGTTATTTCCAAGCAAGCCCAGAATAAATAAAGACATCTTAGTCCAGGTTTTTCTTATGTTCACCAAACACACTCTTAGGCCATTTCTCTTCACCTGAACTGAATGATTCTAGTCTTATTGGAATAAGTTCTAATTTGATTTGGTTTGATCTTATCTGAATTAGTTATATTTTAAATTATTTTTGATGTGATATGAGCTAAACTGATTCCAATAAGAAAAAGTAATAAGTAACACGAATAAGTTTAATATAAATCGAAAGAGAAACCCCAAAATTTACAAGAAATTAGACAGAAATAGCTAGAAAATTTCTTTCAATTTCACATGGATATATAATTGCTTTGTCTTTTTCTTATTAAAGAAAATATTCATTCCACATTAGATAGATGCTTCAAATCGTGAATGTTAAGGTTCCAAAACCAACCAGATCCAACTTTTATTCTTTTTGTTCCTTTTTCACGTGATTTTGTTTATTCTTTTTCAATTATATAAAACAAATTTAGAAACACACAAATAATTCGTAGCCAGCAGTATGGTAATGACTATTTGACTAAATTTTTATGAAACATAATTAACTGAACTTGCTTTATAATTAGTGTAAAAAAATTTATATTTTGAAAAATGACATGGACATAACCATATTAATTATTTAATTAATTATCGATTATCCATGAAAACATATTTAAGAAAAAGTAGATTTGGTTCAGATTTGCGAATAGTTAAAGGAAAAAAAACAAGTAAAACAAGTAAAACTCAATCTGCCTCTACAAAATAACATTTGATAAAAATATTTTATTTTATCCAATAATCAATGAAAATATAGACACAGACAAAATTTATAGAAGATAAGCCCTAAAAAAGTTGTAATCTAATTTTAGACGGAGATAGTAGTTGTTTTCCTATAAAAAGAGAAGGCATGGAATTACTTGGCACACATATTGCCACACATAATCAATTATCCTCCCAATTAAAAGTCTCAATAATACAAATCTCATTCAAAACATCAAAATCATGTCTTTGGGGTTCCTAAGGTTTATGTTCTTGCTCATCATCCTCATCCTAGGGACCGCTCCCAGGAAATCTGGTAACTAATAGTACTCTTTTAATCACTTTTAGAAACAACGTTAGAGATTAGCGTTTTGAAAAAGTTATCTACGGGTAGTGTTTAGCGTTAGCGTTTCCAAAGTAATCTGCACCGTTGGAATTTTATCCAAAACGCTGACGCTAATCTCTAACGCTATTTCCAAACATGCCGTTAGTATAGTTTGATTCTTTTAAATTCAAACTGTGAGACTCGTTGATCACAAATTATCGTTGGATATATGGAGATGGACAATACGACGACGGGGAGTGGTGTGTGGCGGACGAGCAGACGCCGGACGAGGAGCTGAGGGAAGCCATGGATTGGGCATGCAGGAATGGCGCAAACTGCAGAATGATTGAAGAGAAGCAGCCATGCCATGAGCCCAACACAATGAGGAACCATGCCTCTTATGCTTTCAACAGCTACTTTCAGAAGATGAAGAACTATGGTGGAAACTGCTACTTCAATGCTGCTGCTATCGTCACTTCCCTTGATCCTAGTAAGTTCACACACACACACACACATACACATATATCACCAAGGTTCCATGACATTGCCCGGTTCCATGACTTTGGAGTCAAAATTTGACTCCAAAGTCAAAATCAACTTGTGGGGTGCAATTAGAGGGGGTGGGGGGTGTGTTCGGGTCGGGGTAGGGGGTTTACTGGAGTTAGGGGTAGGAAACGTCAATTTTATAAACAGGGTACCGGAGCGCCCCCGGGTCATCCCATGACATTGCCGGGCAATGTCATGGGAACCTTGCCCTATATATATATATATACTCCCTCCGTTCCATTAAACGTTTACCCCTACTTTTTCATACCCTATCTATGACATCATACTTTAATTTTTCTCTAATAATCAAATTATAACATCTTACTTTTATCGATCATATCAAAAGTAAAATTTGAAAGTCAACCAAAATTGCATTTTTCTTATTTTGACCCATAGTCAAAATGGAAAAGGGTTTAAAGGAACGGAGGGAGTATATGTATACTCCCTCCTGAATGAAAATAAATTTTGTTTCCTAAATCTATAAATAAATTTTACATATAAGTCTACAATTTTTTTTACTCATCATGTGATTTTTTTAATATGCACACCAACCCCTTTATTATTATTTTTTTTGAAAAAGATAAATAAATCAGGAAAGGATATGCATGATAATTAATGGTGGATTAACTTTTTCTAATTATTATATGCAGGCTATGGCTCATGCAAATTTGAAGTTGTTTAATTTCATGATTCAACACAAGCGGTGAAGATGTCACGCTGATTCCTCAACATTATTTACGGAATACTCTTCTTAACAACCTTTTCTATTTTTACTTTTTATGAAACAGTGACACTCTTTGACTATAAATTAAGTACAATCTAAATAAATAAATAATATAAAAATTTGATATATCAGAAATATATCTTAAGATGAACTCAATTACATTGAATTTATGTTAAAATTAAATACTCCCTCCGTCCCTAAATAAAGTTCCATTTTTGACTTTTTGAGGATTTAAGGGAGGGATATTTTGGTGTTGACTTTCCAAAAATACCCTTGATGTGATGTGTTAAAGTAAGATGTGATAGGTAGATTATTAGTAAAAAGGTATGATTTGATAGGTAGGGTATGAAAAAGTAAGGAGTAAAAGAGGTTTTTTAAGGGAAAAGAGAAGTTTATTTAGGGACAAAGAAAAAACGAAAGATGAACTTTATTTAGGGACGGATGAAGTATATTTTTCTTACTATTTGCAATCAAAGTGAAAATACAAAAAGTTTTTAGGACTGGAGGGAGTATTACTCCCTCCGTCCTATAATGATCTTCCCGGTTCGCAAAACGAAGAAAAATCCCAAGTTTTTTCAATCTATTTTATTTAAATATTGGTATAGAAATAAAAAAATATAACATACATATTTAAAAACTACACCAAAAGTTCAACAAAACAAGTGGTGACAAGAATATTTTATTTTATCATATAGGCAATGAAAAAATACAAATAAATATAAATTCCCGTGAAGTTGAAATAGTACTCTGAGAAGATCATTATAAGACGGGGAGTATATTATTAGACAGTGATTATTTTCCTTTAAAAATAAACTAATGATAGTTTGTTTTCTTGATCCATAGTTTAAGATGAACTGTTTTATTGACTGTTTGAGGTTCTAAAAATTTAACGACACTATATATTGATAAATTTGTCTTTGAATTGAATGGAAAAACTTTAATATCAAGCTTTTTAAAACAAATTGTAAAGATCGCTGCTAATTTTTTTAAAAATGTTCATCGGAACAATAAATGTTGTCGACTTGTCGTTCCAAAAAGTGAAATCGCACATCCAGGGGCCCCTCACCTCCTGCTCAACGAGATTGTAAGATGAGATAAATTATAGCGACTCAATCGACAACAAAGGTTGGGACTAGAGCTCAATACGCACAAGGAGGTGTCCTCATTTTTTGAGAGATTGCTCTCACATTGTCCCTGATGAAACTCGATCTTTGGTCTCTTGTTCTGAATTTCACATCTGAGACCGATGGAGCGGCCCATGCAGACATAAATGTTGTTGTGATCTCTGGAGTAAAAGTTATTCACAGTCAATTTTTATTTAAATTTTGGATAATATTTGTGGAAGAGAGAAGTTAGGAGTTTAAGCAAAATAGTGATATTTTTGAAGAAAATCATTATTCGGAGAATTAGAATGACATTGGAATCACATATCATAGGATGACCCACGATCAATACGATGATATGTTTATAAAATTGACGGTTCCTATCCCGCTAACCCTCCCAGTAAATCCTCGCCCTATTCCAACCCGAACACTNTTGCACGCTCCAAAATTATTTGACTTTGGACTTCAATTGAGTATTTGTAAAAATAACAAAAAAAATAATAAATAAAATAAAAGGTATGTACTAGCATGGCTACTTCCTGCCATTGCCCTGGGCCGTCCCTCATTAAATACTCCGTATGGACAATTTGGCCCATTTTTACAAGGTATGTACTATACAACTTTTTATGCTTGTTTAATGGCGGCCATTTTGGGCCCTTTTGAATGTTTTGGCCGACTTTGTGATCAATTCAAGTCCGGCCCAAGCCCACATTCTGGGGTCATAGGTAAAACTCGACTTTTTTATATAGAATGTTGAAGTATATGCTTCAGAAAAGAATAATGCAGAAAAGAATAATGCTAGAGTGTTACCACATACGTGCTACTGTGGATGCACTCATACTTTGCACAAACATAAATGATAATCGTATATGTCGCACAGATGATTAAAGTCTGTGTCTGTGCAAAACATGGTAGCACCCATACAGTGGCACCCTAGCATGGCTACTTCTTTCGTTCCAAGTACCCGGTTGTACATTCGCCAGGTCCACGAGCGGGATGCTCGTTATCTGTTTGAAGATTATTTTTCAAACGACATGTGCTTTCCTTCCAGATTTACGAATGCGTCATTTATTACTCATTCGCAATATAACGTGGACATACTCGCAGCTCGTGATGTCTATTTCTAACAGTGGGCGGACGGTGTTAGAGGTGCATGAGGGCCTATCCACTCTACAGAAGTGCACAGTCACGATTAGGCAGCTCGCGTACAGCAACGCTGACATGTTTGACGATTCTACTATAAAAACAAGCAAATAAAATGCATCAAAAGCATCAGCTATTACAACAACCAATGCAACTAGTCAATTGCATCACTTGCTTCCTAAAGATCGATGCAAAAAATGTGGCGTAACCGGAACACTGGTTTTACATACTTTGTTTTTTATTCATTGATCGGATCATTCAGAGAGCTCATTGATCAGATCTATCTCCTCGATCTGTAGCCACATATCTATCTCATCGATCTATTTATCTCATCTGTGCTCTCCGCGCATCTATCTCCTCGATCTATCTATTCTCGCCATTGTCACGACACCTCTAACCTGACGAAAACGAGGGCAACTCTCCGGCATGGATGGATCACAAGGTTGAACAACAAGTAAGCAACATCAATGACAAGGACATAAAGCGGAGGCGGGATAGAGGAGATTCTAATCTTCTGGCCGGTACAATGACGAAGCGAGATGAACCAAAATCAAAGAAATTTGTAAATGTTCCTCACTGTCATTTTCTTTTTATATAGTATTTTCGTGTTTATCGGTCCAAAATAAGCATTGCAAAAGCGTGAATCTGTAGTGGTGCGAGTACCTCTACATCGACAACTCTATAGACCGAGAATGCTTGCAACATTTTTGTCGAAGTGTCATTGTAGCTTTGAGTGATACATACTTGTGAAATTTGATTGCCCAAAATGTTCAGATGTTAGTCCATATACACGAGCATGTGCACGGAATTCTAGGGATGAACAACAGTCTAGATTGTATGTAATGGGAGTTGAGAATTTGCCTTAGCTTGTGGCGTGGAGAGGCGTGCTACAAGCAATTATAAGAACTCACATCCGAAGATCATGCTCGGAGTCGTCGGGTCGAACAACGATCTCAACGTGTTGAATGAGACTCATTTATTCAACGTTGTCTGCGCTAGACGTGTGCCAAATGTCCAATTCACTGCCAATGATCGCCAGTATAACATGAGATATTATAAATCAGATGACATGTATTCAAGGTGGTGAATATTGGTGAAAACCATCACGTGTGTGATAAATGTAAAGAGGGCATCCTATTCATTCATATATAGAGTGGCATTCATTTTGGAAGGATGGAGACATGGAGTATATAATCTTGTATTGAAGCAACTATGTAGTACTCCTAGTAAATAAGAAGAGCATGTGCAATGGCAAGGAAGAGGGATGTCTTACACTGCACATCAGCTTCTTTCACTCATATCAAGGCATGGCAATGCCAAAATGCCTTGCTTGGTGAGGCAAGAGTGTGGCACTTCATACTACTTTTTTTCTTTTTTTCAATAATTTTTTTAAATTTTTTATGAAAAAATGTACAAGAAAGTAGAATAATTTTTTAATAAAATAAATAATAAAAATATTTTTTTATGTTTAAAAAACATAAAAAATGTAAAAAAGTGATAAAAAAATGACTTGCCATTGTAGGACCATTTTTGATTGGTTAAAATATTTCATGTCACCGTGTGACATTTTATTTTCGTCTTGCCATTGTTGATGCTCTAAGTGGCGGTACCCACTCACATTGTCATCTCATCTTCTGCCACAATCCTTGCCCACAAGTTTTCTCCCTAATAATAAATGATATAAATAGAAAAATCGTCTCAATTACACAAGAAATGGGCCATCATAAACTCCACACCACCACCACATAAAAAACTAAAAAAGGGATAAATTTTCCCATTAATAGTTTAAACTTTAAAGTCTCAAAATTAATGGTACGGAATTTAGCTCGTATCAATACCGTAAAAAATATTTCGATTTGGTATGATATTTTTTACATCGTACCGAACTCAATCCCGAAATATCGGTTCAATATGGTTCAAAATCGGTTTCGGTACAAGTCGGGATGAATACATGGACACCTACTTTATACTCATTTACTTTTGAAAATGGTTCGGTATCAGTTTCGGTACAAGTCGGGATGAATACCCATTTACTTTTGAAAAATTGAAAGTACATTTAGAAAAAAAACTAAAATGAATAATTAAATGCAAGAAATGCGTGTCAAAATTTAGTTTATATTTCACAAACTAAAAAATAAACAATGACAAAATAGTACTCCCTCCGTCCACCTAAGATCTTCCCATTACGCGTTATAGGAGTAAAATTTTAAAATAAAATTTATATAGTAATAAACTACATGAAAAGTTCTACAAAACTAAAGGTGACAAAACTATATTATTTTACGAAATGACTAGTAAAAATAATCAAACAAAGTAAGTAAAGTTTGACCCTATGAATAGTGTCTGGGAAGATCTATGGTGGACAGAGGGAGTATTTTGAATGTTTGTGAATATTTTTATGTTCAGATGCACAAAACTGAAACTCAAATAAAAGTATAACTTACACATAATAGAACTTTAACCAAATTTTTAAAATAAATTTATTATTTAGTGAAGAAATATAAAAAGGTCATTATTTTTATAGTAATATATTAGTATATATATGTTCGTTTCGGGGTTTTCAGTATGAGACTCAACCTCGTACCGTTCCCAAATATCGTATCGATCGTTCAGTTCGATGCAACACGAATCTTTCTCGGTATTTTTCTAGTTTGGTATTTTTTATTTTTCAGGAAGTTTATAGATCGTTTCGGCATTTGCTCACCCCTAACGGAAAGTATTATTTATTTATTTATGGCATCCATCTTGAATTCCCTCCACCTTGGGACAAGTAGAGTCTATCTTGTACAGCTCAAATACACAGTTCCTTATACTCTGTATAATATGCATTTTCTGTTTTGTCCCATTTTAAT